ACTGACTGCAGAATGGGATTTGTTGCACTTGAAATATATAAGGTACTTTGATTAAAATATATCTACATTAAAATGAAGCCAATGAGTAGGGAAAATGCTGAAAGTTTAAACTTGGTTTATGAGTGCAATGGATTATCTTTGTGATAAATGGGTAGTAATCTTATTATTTTGTTATAGTATGACAGAAGAAGTCATCATTATAGAACATTCCATTATGTTATGGAAATTAATACAGATGACTAACATTTCTTTATTTTAGACCATGAGAAAATTTGTCTAGTGTTATCTGATAACTGGAAAAATGAATGTGGAAAAGACAAAATCTCTTTTAGAATGAGGAATATGAAGAGAATGTTCTGTAGATAAATCAATAAAATATGATAATTCTGAGGGAGATAACACCCAAACATATTTTATGGATAAATTGCTGAGAATTAAATACCGTTATATTTTTTCCTAGTGTTGCTCTGGATAGATTAGATAAGACATATTATGCTATGTCTGTGCATGCCAATCTGAATTTAGAAGCTGCTACTAAAATGCTGGCATTGTACCTTGAAGTTGACTTAAGAGCACATTGGGCCACCAAGTGAAAATTTGTGATACTGAGGTTAATTGCATCTGACAAGCTGTTTCTGTCAACTAGTGTTAATGCATAAAGCGATACAGAAAATGAAAGATAATCTCAGCTTTTAATGGAACTTGTAGTTAGCACCCTTTTGTTCTGGGTGAGGGAGAGTGCAGACCACAGCAGTTTTCACAGGTATGCCTTGGGAAAAAAGTGACTGTCTTCTCTATCGTATTTATTAAACTCTGTAGAACTACAAGGTCTGATTGCGTGACTAAAACTCTGTCTAAAGTGCTGATGGCCTGTGCTATTTAGAACAGACAGTTACTACCATGTTGTTGAAGCAGTTGCGTTTCTGATCTGTAGCTTGCCTGCAGACTCATTCATGAATATTTCTTTAATGACTTTAAGAGTTTTGTCCTATTTTTAAATTGCTGTTAGAGCACCAACATGCAAATATCTTTTTAATGAAATTACTAATTTAGAATATCTTCATTAAGTGTAATCTCATTTACTCATAAATGCATTAGTTGTAATAGTAAATTCCTTGGGAAAGAATTGGAAAGCTTACTGAAGTAAAAATAAAGGGTTTATACATTCATATCAGAGCTGCCTTGAGTATCATCTGGTTTGTGGAAAGAGTTGCTTCTCAGTAGTCTTTCACATTGATTCATGCTTATGTAAAAATGGCACCATCTTAGGCATGAAATTGTGTTTGTTGAGAATAGCACTCAGATTGTATTCTGCTTAAACTTCCTTTGGTTTGTGTAGAATTCTAGGGATAAATCAGCTGTGGAATAGAAAGCCGAGGAATGTTGCATCTCGTTCACTTTCAGTAAAAAACAGATTCTGCCATCCAGTGGCTACCAGTCCTTTAAACAGAAGGGATTTCACTGGTTTATCTGAAAAAGAATTGGGCTATAGAAGTCTTGACTGATGTTAATACGCCAAAGGGAAAAAAAGTTGTTTTCAGCTTTCCAACTAGGTAGCTTGTGCAAATGACAAATTAAAAAAGCAAATCATCTAGTACGGTTGTCAAACGGTGGACTCCTGTGCATAGTGCTGCATTTCTGTCTGCTGTCCGTTTTTTTCTAACTGATTTTTAAGGGCAGAACTACTGGTTTTGGATTATGCACTTGTACTTACTGTTTGGAATAAAATGAAATTTTGGAGAAGGGTAACCTGTAATTTTTCTTTCAACCAAATGGGGAGTTGGTTTGAAGAGGTCTTAAGATACTGTTTTTCTCTGGAATTCCTTTCTCTTGTAGCTATTTTAATCCTTAATATGTTCCTGCAGAGTCACCTTTCAAAGAATATTATGCGTTGACTGTGTATTGTGATTATGAATGTTGTGTATTGATTTGTCTGTGCCCGCATTTTTCTTTTGAGCTGCTTGAAAATTAATTAGTGTGTTGAATAAAAGTCTGGATTCTGGTCAGAATACCATTTTAAAAAGTACTTCTAGTTCTTAACCAGGCTTTTATGGGTTTTATTTTTTATTAGTCTTTATTCCACTCTTAATGTTCCTGCTTAGCATCTTTCCAGAAAACAAGCTGAGGTTCATTTTTCTAACTTGTCATACAGCTTCCTCTGGTGCTTCTGGAATATCTGTTTATTTATTGCTGCTTACCAAGTCAGTCTTAGTCCCTGGTGTTACTACTTTCCAATAGGAAAAGAGACAAGAAATTATTTTTATTTATCTAAATATTTATTTATTTTTGCTAACAATTACATGTCCCAGGGCTATAGTATATGTAATTTCTTCCAAATGTAGAGGAAAAAGATGTCTTACACTGCCCACTTAAAGATTAAGAGAAGCTGGAACAATATACTCCTACAGGCAGTAGTTTAAGAAGTACTTAAAGACGTACTTTAAGGGTATTAACAATCACACCGTTGTAAGGAGACCTGTATGTGTAAAGCCATGTGTGTTCAACTGTGTGACTGTGAAAAATTCCTGTCATTCTTTTCTGAAGATACTTACACCGGACTTCATTTAGACAACTATGTTTCTGCTTTTGTTTAAAAACTGCTTCTTTAACTTATAGACATATTGTGCAATGTAGTGTTTTGTTAGTTCAATTCTGTAATCACCAGTTGTGTCTGTGAGTTTCTCTCCGTAGATCCTTTATTATAAACACTGTAAATAGTGTTCATCAGTGTGAACTTTATAGTTTTTATAATAGCTTCTAAAACCAATTAGATGGAATGGGAGGGAAAAGGGAAGAGGAAAAATATAACCATTTTCAAAGATCTGTCAGGAAATCTCAAAGTGAAGTAACAGGCAAATTAGAAACTTAAAAAGACTAAGGAGGCCATAAAAATAGCTGATTGAACCCTGATAGCACTAATGTAATCAGCAGGTCTTCAGGAAACCCATTAACATTTTATAATAGTCTCATTCATGAAGATGAAATGAATTTTAAAGACCAAGTAAACGTTATGTATACAAAACTTGGTGCAAAACAAATAAGCTTTCCCCCTGCAATCTTGCAAGCAGAATAAACTGTGAAAGAACATTAATAGTGAAAACTGTTGTAATCCTGAAATTCAGCCACTTAAAAAATTGAAGAAACCTGATGAAAAGTACTGGAAGTACTTGCATTATATACTTTTTTTTTTCCTTCACCAAAGACACTTAACAGTTTAGAATAGATACTTGAATATATTTGAGATGTGTCAATCCTATAAATACAAATGTGATTCACGATTTGAATGGAACTTGTTTTTTCAGTGTTGCACAAGAAGCTTTTAACCTGAAAGCTTTTCTAAGACAAAGGTACTGCTAAACTGAAAAGCACATTTTTCAAAAAGAATTAGTGTGTTGATTGCATAGCATTTTCATTGACTTTTATATCAATGAATGTTGTTTTTTAATATTTAAAGTTCTCTAGAGTAAAACTACAGTTGGCTAGTCATTAAGTATGTCATTCCTCTACTTTTAAGAGTAGAGCGTTGCCATGTATTGTGAAAATTGTGTATTAACCTAAGTTTGTAATTTGCATCTCAGCCTCTCACATGAGGCTACTACCAAGAAGCTGCAGCAAAATGATAGACCTAGTGCTGTTTGTCGCAAAGTTAAATAAAATAGTTGATTTGAATAGCAATGAAGCCCTCATTCCTAAGCTTGCATTACTTGAAGTAGTAATAAGTTGGGTCCTGCTCAAATAATTTGCTTAGTATTGGAAAGAATTGCAAAGAATATTATTAGTATTGGAGAGGCTATTACCATAGCAAATGACTGTAAATTAACTAAAGCGCCCAGAATAATGGAAAGGGAAATCTTCAGAAGATGCTTTCAGGACTGTTCTTTACAGTGAATTTGTACTTTTGTGGTTTCCTACAATTAAAATAAAAATTATAATCGTCAAAAATATCAGTAAGATACTTTTCATTATTATTAGTAGAAGCAGTGCAGGTAATTAAATCTGTAGAAAGGAAATAATTCTGTGTTCTGCAGTTTCTTTTAAGTGTCTGTGAAAAGTAACTAAGAAAAAGCAAGTTTATTAGAAAATTAATTTTATATCTTAAGGTCTGTTCTTCAGTTGCAAAAGTTTTAGAATCTTCAGATGCAGAAATTGTAACTGTCTACAGCAGTTCTTTCTTAGTGAAAATCTCATTTTTCAGAGAGACCGAGAGGAACAGAGTATTTTTAAAATTGATGATTTGTACTTTATAAGATTTAAATATGCATTAAACTATGATAACTATAATTGTCTGTATTAACTGTATAATTTAATTTTTGAAAACATTCTCAAAGTTTATTTGGGACTACACATACAAGTTTTATGTTCCTTTTGGAGGCTGCAGTTTGTTGGAAGTACTGTTGGAGAAAGGTCTGACATAAACAATTGCAAGATGGAGATTTCCTCAGAAGCAAAGAGAAGGTTGTTACTGAATTTGTGTGTGTGTTTGCACAATTAAACTTTATTGCTCAAAATTAATCATAAATAATTTTTTAAATCCTCTGTTTCTTCAGCAGGTTCCTGTGTATTTCTGCCTCTTCTTCCATTAGAGTAGTCATAATTTGTCATCTTAGATTTAAAGATGTATATTCTTCTAATCTGACTATTGCTGTTTTACTGATGTTTAATTCTTAATAGGTCGTTGTTTTACTGTATATTAGTTTTGGTCACACTCTTGATTAAAATAAATTAAATGCTGAAATAGCATGTGGCTAAAGATTTTGATTGATTTTAACAGATGTTATCCTGCTATATTTTGTTTCCCTATGGATTCAATATTTGAGGGTTGGGTGGGAGCGGTAGCCTCAGAATAAAAACCTTGGAATAATAAATAGATTTCAACCGGTATCCTAAAGTTTGTTGCCATGTGTTCTTTTTCTTATGATTAATATGTATAGACATACACACACACACACGTGTATATATATATGAAAAATCCAAAATATGTGTGTTGTTTATTTTAACAGATTGGACAGCTTGCTTTTAAAGGCATGAAAAGACTAAACCGAATCCAATCTATAGTTTTCGAGACTGCCTACAACACAAATGAGAACATGCTAATCTGTGCCCCCACTGGAGCTGGGAAGACTAACATTGCCATGCTGACAGTCCTTCATGAAATTCGCCAGCATGTCCAGCATGGTGTTATCAAAAAGGATGAGTTTAAGGTAGGAGCTTAATGAACCAAGTAACAGCTTTTTAGCTTGTAAGGTAAAACCCATTACATGTTATACATGGAAGAGGAAATCAGGAAGTTTTCAAGGGTATTACACTTTTCCAAGTCAAAGATAAGGCTAGTTTTTATTTGCTTCAGTATTGTTAAAGCTATTCTTATTTGTGTTCTAAAAATCTTATTATGCAAGTAAAAAGCTATGAAAACACATTTCGCTTTGATGTAGAACCAATTTTCAAAGTGATGAGGCTGTATAAACAAAACCCATTGTCTTTAAACAGCTGCACACTTATCCAACAAAGATAACTACTTTTCATATATCACTATTAAGATTTTTCACTGTAAGCGCCTGACATCATATTTCACAATAAATTGTGATTTGTAGTGGTTGCCATGAAACAAATGATATTGTGGGGTTTGCTCATTTATCAAGCAAGTGTCCTTTTGGTGCAGATTGTGTATGTTGCTCCTATGAAGGCTTTGGCAGCTGAAATGACAAATTACTTCAGCAAGCGTCTGGAACCACTAGGCATTACTGTGAAAGAGTTGACTGGTGATATGCAACTGTCAAAAGGTGAAATTCTGCGAACACAGGTATGCTTAATATTTTAAAATATTGTTCTGTGTGTGTATTTATACCTCTCCATAGGTACGCTGGTCTTTTTTTCAAACTCCTTGTAAAAGTATTGGTGAAGCAGCTGAAATGTTATTACTGAGTCTGTAATTACACTGGGTTTGTTCCAAAATGTGAATTTTAATTCAAAGTGATTAAAACACTAATACATCTGAAATACCTTAAGCAATGGGCTCATTAAACTTTTTGGTTTCTCCTATTTAGACTTACTACTACAGTGCCCCACTTCCGTACAACCTTTGTATAAAATCTTACCTGCTTTTCAGCTTGTGAACCTCAGTGGGTTGTGCCCCTACCCTTTCAGGATTATAAGCCAAGCGTTGTATGCCTGTGTTTGCAAGAACCTAACATTCATAATTTCAGATTTGGCATTCTTTGATAATAACCATCTTTGAAAAGTTGAAGGTTTGGTCTGCAAGTGGTAAAGTCTAAATAAATTTGAAATGCTGTAACAACATTGTTGCAAATATGTTAAAATAATACTTACCTTCTTTTTTATTAAAAAAAAAGTTAATAAAGCTGTAGGTTCCTGTTAATGGCTGATCTTACTTTTCCTTTTTAAGGACAAGTGAGGAAAAGTATAAGACTCGCTAGGTTAAACATTTGAACATTCATAGAAATAAATAAAATTTGCTTTTTTAGCCTCATAAATAGTATTGCATAGATAGAGATTTTTTTCTGTTTTAACAGATACTTCTTGTCACATTTATTTCAGGCAAATGCTGTTTGTGTTAGTGAAATACCATTTTTCCAAAATATTGAGATACTTTTATATCTGATCTTACATAAAGTTCCTTGTAATTACCCTTCCGCCTCCTGCCTGGTCCAAGAGACAGAATAAGACTTGGTTGTATTATCAGTATGAACATTTATAAATGTAACTTGTAGTAATTATTGATTCAGATGAGTTATATTTTGCCAGTCTTAGCTTTGATGTATTTTACATTTTCAGGATAAGACTAGAAAAAACTCTTCATGTGACAAGAAAAGATGCCTATATGTAATTAATAATAAAGAGGACCACTGCGGTAATCTCGTATGAAGTCCTGGGTAGTAATCTACTTTATTAGAAGAAGTATATGCGTACATATTGATGCATACAGTCACAATGCTGTGGTAACCAATAAATAACAAATGAATATCAACGAGTAGCAGCAATATCACTGGTACTTTATCGGAATTATTTTGCAATACCATCTGCCTAAAATTTGGGTTTACAAAATAAAAAACTTTTCAATAGGGACTTCTAATAATTGAAATTATTTACATACACCAAATTATCATTTTAAATTACTTCCTGTTTTCACAGTACTTTTCAGCTAGGGCACATAATCAAGTAGGTCAGAGTTTTAATAGTGAGAGAGCATGTGTAACCACTGCTGAAACTGAAGTGACAGTGGAAAAGCCTGCTCTGAATATAACTACAAAGTTCAATGAACAGAATGAATGTAGAATGGAAAAGTGCCATTTTCTCTTGCTCTCCTAGTTTGCAACGTAATTCATAAAATCTCACCTCATTACTAAATCTCTACTTACATCCAGTAAAGAAGTAAGGAAAGGAAAAAAGATCAAACAAACAAACAAAAAAAACCCAAACAAAAAACCCCCAACATTTCAGGCGTTATTAAGAAATGTGTATGGAAAATAGTTTACAAAGTTAAAATTTTATTACTCTAGTAATGGGAAATTGTTAATATATACAAAGTATTAATTTACAGCAACATAGTAACTTAAGTGTAGAAAGACTGTCTGCTTCATCATGCTCTCCTGTTTCAGTCCAAAATACAGCTAGTAGCATAATTCTTCATTTTCTTTTGGGGAAGAGGCTAAAGTAGATTTATGTATAAAAATCGAGAAGAAATGGCAAGGGGAGGACCTAGGTAAAAATCAAAATTTTTTCCTGCCATGGACTCATCTCATTGCTTTGAAAATTTTTTTTTTTTATCTGAAACTCATCTTCAGAGGATTTCTACAGTTTCATATGTACTTCATAGGGTAGAAACACTAACCTGAAGTGTAGTGTATTTGAAGTTCCTAAACTTTTGGGGGGAATGGATGTGGAAGAAAAATGGTCTCCAGAAAAGGAAAAATTTGGAAACCATTATGTTATTTGTGACCCAAACTTTAGTTCCTAGGTTTTCAAAGGAACTATAATTAAAGCATTGATTAATTTCAGTTTTGCTTTTGCATCAGTAATAGTTTTGCTTCTTTGCTTTTCAAAGGATTGGAAAGGTTAAAAAGACAAATATATAAAGTCAAAAAATTCTGGGACTGTGAAATACTCATTTTTTGTTTTCTTTTGTTTGTTGTAGCTAGTCAGTCTTTCCTGATGATGAATCAGAATTGTAGGAGGTGCAGAGGAGACATAACACCAATCCAAGAGTTACCAATGTAATTGCTGCTGCTTTTCTTGCAGACTCTGGAGCCCAGCAGTGGGCTTTGTTTTAACCCTGCTTATCAAAGTGCACAGAAAATATGTAGCCTTATTATAAACTGAGGAAAGGGCACACACTTGTGCTGGATCTCGCTTATTGCTCTTTGCATATATTGTTTCCTATGAAAACTGCTGAGCTTTCTTTCATCAACTATGCACTTAAACTACCTTGTCCAAGCAGATTTCTTTAGTTGCTTTTTACCTATATTAAATTGATGCTTCAAAACTTTATTTTACTTGTCAGCCTCTAATGTATACATTTCTCAGACAGGAATACTCTGATATGTGTTGCTACTTTATTTATAGTTTCAGAGTTGCTTTGCCAATCATTACCGTGCTTTCTAGCCTTTACTAGTGTAATAGATGAAGTGCCCGTGTTTAACAGTAAAGCAGTTTTTCCTGTAAAAAGTAACGCTATAGCAGGTGGATGCATGCACACAATTTAAATACGCAGGGATAGTGTATATAGTATGAGGGATAAAAGGCAGGAGTAGGATCATCAACTGAAGTAGATGCAGGCATTTCAGGTTGGATCAGTGTTTCAAAAGATCTCAGCTGATTCTTTTAGGAAACTGAAGGCCTGATATAAATCTTCTGTGACAGCCATCTTTTGGCTCTTTTCTGAGCAGTTACATTTTCACCATCATTCATTTTCATCCTCAGGTGAATCAAGCCAGTCACAATGCAAGATGTAAAAATGAGGTGATTGCCAGGTATTAGTTAGAAGTAGCACTTCAGTGACAATCCTGATAATTTTCTCCTTCCTTTTCATCCTGCATGCTTCATACTTTGCCTGTGTGTATTTAAATATGTGTATTTTGTATGTCATTATATGCCTCTGTTATGCTTATTCTGATGAGGAAAAATTCCTTTATCTGACAAATTGCTAACTGTCTCACTTCTCAGGAATCCACCCTTATTGTACAGTGGAGTCTGCCTTTATTACTTTTTCTACAAATATTTTTAAAAGAAGAAAATGCTAGCCAAAAAAAAGTAATGAGTAATTTACATTTTAATTCCTTTTATGATGGAGTAAAATCTTTTAAATGTTTTTGAAAGATATGCCCATTTAAAAGGTCTGTAGCACAATTTTTCAGCAATAACTTTCTCTGTGCTTCCCATTTATATTCATCCAGAAGGCATCCATGTCTCTTGCTGCTCAATACTTTTATGGTATTATACATGAGATGATTTTACTTCCATGTTATTCCATACTATGCCTTGAATATTCATTTACAGTACTATGGTTCCAACATGTACTTCAAAAGCCAAGCTTTTCGAAAAGTTATTTCTAATTTTACCAATAATGAAATTGCCTTAAAAAGGAAAATCAAAGTAATTGTTTTATTAACTCTTCAGTCAGTCTTCTAACCTGCTCCCCACATCTTGTGCAGTGAAAGCCACAAGCTACTACTTGTCTAAGCGTAAGATGGGGGATGTGTGTTAAAACTCTAAGACACAATTTCCCTTCGTGTTTTTGTGAAAAGGAGTAAGTGTAAATATTTAACATGTCACTTTAATGTTTTAGACAGAATAGATCCAGGGTCCATTACCACATAATTTGTATGTAAATAAGTGCTTCACTGAACCTGGGAACAGAAGAAAATACACTTGTTACAAAAATAAATAACCGTAGCTATTGTACTGGTTCTTGTAGAGAGTTTATTTTACATTATTAAAGCTTTTTTCATAGTCTAAAAAAAAGATACGTTAACTTTTCACTTTCTTTTGCTTATTAAAAAACAGTCTAAGGAAGATTATTTCTCTACAGTTGATATTTTTCCTATCGGCTCTATTCTAAGCATGTTTGTGTACTGACCTACTATTATCTAAGCATGTTCATATACTGACATACTATTATCTAGGAAACTCTCAGACATCACTTAAACCATAACGATATTAAGCATACTTTAGCCATAATCTATTGATTGGTAAGTTGGTTTTGGTATGTTAATCTTAATAATGGAATGGAAAATATTCATAAGTAATAAATTGTGTATTTTGCTGGGTAGCATTCAAAATAACATGAAGTGTTTTGTTAGAAGGCAATGGATTATTTGGGTGATTGTCCTTATGGACTTTTTTGGGTGTGCATATATATAGCTACTCAGTCTTTGCTTTATATAGTCTAGAAAATGATATAACACAACTTCAGGATCAACTTGTGGGCTTTCAGATCAGTTATCTCTGACCTTGTGTTTGCAACAAATACAGTAGTAATAGTTATCTTTTGAAAGTTTGGAGAATATGACTGGGATTGGAGCAGTATAGATTTATAATGTAATCACCAAGTTATAGGCACTGCCCTGCACTGGGCACAGTGTAATGTAAGCTGATGCTTTGACTTGTACAAAACAGTGGTAGCCTCTAGGGAGTTGCAGAAATGCCTTCTGGCCTTAACAATTAGTAACTCTTAAAGGTAGTGGGCATCAAAAAACATGTAGGAGATAATTTCTCTTTAATGTTTTATGCATACATAACATGAAACAAAATTAAGATTCTTGCATAGCACAGTGAAAATTTATC